CAACACTTTGAGCTCAGGACTGTAACTTTTAGGTAGGTGCTCTACCACTTGAGTCATGTTTCCAGCTCTTCTTGTTTTTGAAGTTGTTCTATATCTGACCTGTAAGCCAGAATTTGCCATCCTCCTGCTTCAGCCTCCTGAGTGCTGGGATTATAGGCATAAACTGCCATGCTGGGTTCAATTCTTCTTATAAAATCAGCAATATGCCAATTTCCTCATCAAAGATAAAGAAATCCCTACACTGGCTTCACAACTAAGTTCATTTACATACGTATTTATAAAGACTACATTATCTGTAATTTTTTTTTGTTGGTCATGGGGCTTGAACTCTGGGCTTGGGCACTGTCCCTGTGCTCTTCAGTTCAAGGCAAGCACTCTGCTTGAGCCACAGAGCCACTTCCAATTTTCTGGTAGTTAACTGGAGTTAAGAGTTTCACGGACTTTCCTTCCTGGGCTAACTTTGAACCATGATCCTCAGATCTCAGCCTCCAGAGTAACTAGGATTACAGGCGTGAGCCACTGGCACCTGGCAGTAAATTTTTTTGATAACAAGTACAAAGATAACATGTGGGGAAGAAAGAAATAAGCATAAACTTACAACTCAGTGCTAACCAAAGCAAGACAGTGGTTTAAATCCTTAGCACCAAAGGGTAGGTGGAAAAATACATATAAATTTTACGATAAAAAAATAGACTGCTGCCAATGCAATTTGCGTATACGTACAGATAAACCATTAAAATTTTAACTCAGCATGATTATATTTGCTTAAATGTACAGTTGTTACCTATGGTTAGTTTCCACAGACTTAACAATTGAGATACAAAATACATGGACAAAGACTCCCTATCCTCCTTTTCTAATTCAAAAGAAACAATTATTTTTGTTTCTATTTGCATAGATTAGTGGAATTGTGTAGTACTTTTGTATTTGCCTTCTTTGTTGTTGTTGGTCATGGGGCTTGAACCCTGGGCCTGAACGCTGTCCCTCAGCTCTTCAGCTCAAGGCTAGTGTCCTACCACTTGAGCCACAGAGCCACTTCTGGTTTTCTGGTAGTTTATTGATAAAAGTCTCACAGACTTTCCTGCCCAGGCTGGCTTTGAATTGCAATCCTCAGATCTCAGCCTCCTGAGTAGCTAGGATTACAGGCGTGATCCACGGGCACCCGGCTTTGCCTTCTTTTATTCAACACTTTTTTTCCACTGCCACTGCCACTGGAGCTTGAATTCAGGGCCTTGTATGCTTGCTTGGCTTATTTGCTCAAGCCTGGCACTGTACCACTTTTGGCTTTTTGCTGGTTAAATGGAGATAAGAGTTTCTCAGATTTGTTTACACATACTGGCTTTGATGCTTGATCTTAAGATCTCTGCTTTTTTGAACAGCTAGGGTTATAGGATTGAGTCACCAGTGCCCGACTCTCTCAACATAGTTTTAAGAGTCACCAATATTTTGTCAATAGTGTGCACAGGTATGCACGGTACTATAGTACAGTAATTCATAAATCATTTTTATTTTCTGAACATGGAAATGTTGTAAAAGGGGGTTAGAATTTCATATATCTGTTTAAGTGTCTAATACTTCTCAATCAGAGTCACTTCTGTAACTTATCAATTCTGTTGATGGATATTTGGGTTATTAAAAATATTTTATTGTTATTACTAAGGGGTGGTACAGAAGAGTGTTATTTTTGACATTTATTTTAGAATTGTGTGCAAATATGCCATTAATTCTAACTTGTCAAATTAATTTTTTTCGTAAGAGGATGTGGGTAGAGCACAAACAAGGAAACACTAAAGCATTCACCATAACCATGTTTATTACAGCATTATTTACCACAGCCAAGATATGGAATGAGTCCAGATGCCCCTCAATGCACATATGGATCAAAAAAAAATACGCACGTACGTGCACACACTCGAATTTTACTCATCCATCAGAAAGAATAATATGGTACTATTTGTAAGGAAATGAACAACATGGAAAAAGTTATATTCAGTAAAGTAAGCCAGACCCAGAGAAATACAGGTTGTAGGAGCTAGGATGTGGCTATAAATCTAGAAGTAAACACACTGGGTGACACCAAAGCAGTTAACTTAAGTTAATATAAGACTAAGTCAAAGCCCAACAAAGTAAGTACCAGGAAATGGATACTTGTAAAGGGGGACAAGGGAGAGAGGTAGAAGAATAAAGGGGGAATGAGTAGAATGAAGGCAAGAATGCATTGTATATGCCACAGAACTGAGAAAAATAGTGGTAGGGGTGCACTGAGGGGGTGAAGGTGTTGAAAGATGACATAGATCAAGATACATTGTGTAATAAAATGCTTTGTTAAATGGCAAAATTTCAATACATAACCTAAAAATTAAGAAACATGAGGCTGGGTGCCAGTGGCTCATGCCTATAATCCTAGCTACTCAGAAGGCTGAGATCTGAGGATTGAGGTTTCTAGCCAGATGGGGCAGATGGACAGAAAAGTCTGTGAGACTGTTATCTCCAATAAACTACTTAAGAAAAAGCTGGAAGTGGTGCTGTGGCTCAAGTGGTAGAGTGCTGTAGCCTTGAACTGAAGAGTCAAGGGACAGCGCCCAGGCCCAGCGTTCAGGCCCCACGACCATGTCCACCAGCACCACCAGCACCACCACCACCAATAACAAAGAAGATGTGAAATTTCAACTACCTTAAGAAATTTCTTACAAAGTTAAACTATGTGTAATTTAATGCTTAAAGGCCTCTTCGTAAAAGTAGCAATACTGTAAATTAATAACAGGCTTTAAAAATAGCTTGTTTTACTACCTTCACACTTAAATCTGAGAATATATGTGTGTGTATATACTTATATTTGTATATGTGTGTATAAATATAAAACTCAGATTAGATTGTTATAACCTACAATTTCACTTGGCCCAGAAAGCCTGATATGATAAGTGGTATTTGGGTGTGTGTTGCTTATTTTCAAGAATGGACTTTGTGAAGCATGACCTGAACCTTGCTTTGTCCTAAAACATGTCTTATCTTCTGGGTGTATATAGTTTTCTGATACTCAAGAGATTTTGTTCCCATGCCAATCTGGATTAGAAAAGGCAGACATTCTAAACTCATTGTCAATCTCCTTTGAATACTAGTGCAAGCACACAGAAAAGAAAACTATAGTTTTTTTTTAAAGCTTTCATTTCTTGTTTTAAAATATTATTTTCCAATCTCTTGGGAGAGTGGAAGGCGAGGTGCTAGAAAAGCTGAGAGCTAAAAAATCTGGGTTAAGGTTTATATGATATGTAATGAAATCTTCCTTTTGTTTGGAAGGGCTTTCCATACATACTACTTCACAAAGATCTGTACCTGTGTGTACTTAGCTTTTAAAGTTAAGCTGTTAACTAATGATTATATAATTTTCTTTTAATTCTAATCACATAGTGGTTGCTAGAGATGCATCTGGGTCAGATTTTTCTTAAATTGGGCTCTTTAGTTCCCCAAGGGTGAAAGATAAGTACAAAGTTCTATCAAAATGTCAGATGTCTTAATTTAGTGGTTGTTTAAGAACACCTTATTTCCCTAAAATAAAACTATTTTTGCCAAGTTTCAAAACAATTTTTCCCTTAAAGGGCTTGCATTTTCCTCAGATTAACAATCACTGTTTTAGGTAATAAAGTTCTCTTATATAATTTTTTTTCTTTTGGTAACTGAGTATTCTTTCTTTTTTTTTGGGGGGGGGGTCAGGTAGTGGGGCCTGAACTCTGGGCCTGGGCGCTGTCCCTCAGCTCTTCAGCTCAAGGTTAGTGCTCTACCACTTGAGCCGCCACAGGGCCACTTCCAGCTTTTTTCTTTTTGCTTATGTGGTGCAGAGGAATTGAACCCAGGGTCTCAGGCATGCAAGGCAAGTGCTCTACCACTGAGCCACCTTCCCAGCCCTGAGTATTCTTTCTTTAGGTAACAAAAATGATATGGAAAATTGTGTGTGTTTTTTTCTTGCTCACTTCCCTTTTTTACCTGCAGATGGAACAACAACAACAACAACAAAAAACCCCACAATGTGAATTCGGAAATCGTGATATAATTATTAGCCACTATTTATCTTCTTTTAGTCCCACGTTGGGAATGTACTCTGAACATTTTGGCTCAAAGTAATAAACTGTAGACCTCGGATACCTACCTTCATTCTATTGATAGGCACACCTTTGCTGGCAAAGAACCAATTTTAAAATACGACAATGTGCTAATCACTTAAGGGGTTCCCCCCCCACCACCACCATGAGGTAGGTACAACTGACACCCTATTTGCTCCAAGAAATGTCACGCAGTGATGTCATGCAGTGATGCCAGCAGGATTCAAGTGTGGCTGAATCCGAAATTCCAGCGGCTCCTCAGCATGGTGCACATTCTGTTTCCCGGTGTTAGTGGTCCCCCCCTCCCTCGGGGATTCTCTCTGGGAGAATGTCACCGGCTAGCCCACGCTCCCGCCCCCCACGGAGTGGAACTCGGTCTCCCGACAAACTTTTTTGTTTGTTTTTTTGCTGTTCCACGGCCTCCGACCACGTTCTTCTCCTCCTCAGTGGAACTCTGCTCCAGCCCTCGCCGCTGGCGTCCACAGAGCCTCTTCCCCCCGAGACGCCCGCAACCTCGATCGGCCCCCCTCCCCCTCCCCCCCGGCCTCGGTGCCGCGGTCCCCTCCTCACCTGCTGATCCCCACGGTGCGAGGCTCGTTCTCGCGGGCTCGGGTCCCCCCCCCCCCCCCCGGCAGAGCCCGGTAGCACAGCTGCGATTCCTGGGCCCCAGCAGAGAGCTCTGCCCCTGGGCATAACTTTCGCAGATCTCCCGCACCGCTTCAGTCCCAGCCTGACCAACCGCGGGCAGCTCCTTCCCTTTCCTCCCCGCACCGGCGCGCTCCCACGCCCGCCAGGCCCCCTGTCTTCGTCTCCTCATACTTCCCCCTCTCTCTTTCTCGGAGCCGAGTTAGCTCCTAGATTCCCGCACACCCCGCCCCCCGCCCCGTCGCCCCGAAAACTCACGCGGAGCTGCTGGTCTCAGAAATACTCTTCCCGGCCGCTCCGAGGTTTTCCTCTCTCCTCAGCGGTCCGGCTCCGGGATCTCTGCCGGCGGGCGCTCCTCCAGCGCTCCGCTTGGGAACCAGCCAGCAGCGGGCTGGACACTCCAAGCCCCGCCCCCTGCGATTCTATTGGCCGTCGTCCCCGAGAAGTCCCGCCCCTCCGGGTTGCAGCTCGCCTCCCCGCCCCGCTTCCCTTGTTTTCATTCCCCCTGTCACACGAGGCTGTGGCGGACCCGAAGTGGGAGGGGAGAAGCCCAAGAGGGGCAGGCGGTGGAAAGAGGGCGGAAAGTGAAAGGCTCAGGGCGCCTCTCTGTCCCTCGTCTGGCTGCGCTCTCGACTGCTCTGGGCCGCCGTTGTATTGTGGGATCGCGGCGCCGTCCCTGAGTCGGTCGGATCCTCAGGGGGAGGGCCCGCTCGAGAGCGCCTCCTGTCGTCCGTGAGGTTGTCCTGCCATTCCTGGGCACCCCAACTCCTCCCGCCCCCCCATCGCCGCCTCCTCCATCCTCCAGTTCAAAATGGCGACGGCGGCGGCGGCGGCAGCGGCGGTGATGGCTCCTCCAGGCTGCCCGGGTTCGTGCCCCAACTTCGCCGTAGTCTGCTCCTTCTTGGAGCGCTACGGGACGCTGCTGGACCTTCCCGAGCTGCCGTTCCCCGAGCTGGAGCGGGTGCTGCAGGCGCCGCCGCCCGACGTCGGCAACGGGGAAGGTAAGCCTGGGGCCCGAACGCCCGGCGGGAAGCGGCCCTGGTGCGCTCGCTCCACCGCCCCGCTCCTCGCCCACAGCCCGGGCCGCGACGCCTCGGTCTTTCCCCCTTGGCCGGGGCCCGTCTTCCCCGCCGAGCCCCCGGGGTCCCGGGCTGTGGGGAGGCGGGGCGGTGGCCCCCTGGGGCCACGGTGTCCCGCGGGGAGCAGAGGTGGGGGCGTCGGTGGCTGGATGGGGGCTGGGGGCGGGAAGGGGGCTCATTGTGCCTCCGGGCCCCCCGGGATCGCTTCCCCGCGGCGGGGCCGGCCTCCCCCCCACCCCTCTCTTTAGGTGGCGGGGGAAGGGGAACGCAGGTTCCGGCCAGCTTTGCGCTTTTCTCCTCTTCCCCTCCTCCCACCCATTCTCCAGACCTTCTCGGGGGAGGTTAGGCCCATCTCCGCGCCCCCTGATCTCCCTCCACCTGAGTGGGCGGGGGCCGGCGGTCCCTCGACTGTCCCTCCCTCTGGTGGGAACTCCCCCGAGACAGAGTAGGCTCATCCCCTCTCCTCTTCCCCTCCAGGGCTGGTTTAACTCCCCCCCCCCCTACTCCCTCTGCCCAGTCGGGAGATCTGCTCCTCCAGCCAAAGGAGGGAGGTTCTCCACCATTCTCGTCGGGGGGGGGGGGGAGGATGAAGTCAGTTCAGCTTCTCCACTTTGGGGAGGAGAGGGTTAATTTCTCCTCCATAGTTTTCTTCCTTCTCGACACCTCCCTCCCCCAAAAAAATAATAGAAAAGCATCTCCCCACTTTTCCAGTCCCTTCCCCCCTTCATCTCAGCGGCTAGGGGAAGAAGTCGCCCTTCCATTTGCTGGGTGGGGTGGGGTGGTTAGTCTGTAAGCTGGAGGAGGGGCTCTGGCGACGGGGGAAACAGTTGAAGAAGGTGCTTGTTGCTCATGTTTCTCTCTCTGGTGCCGCTGGTCTATTATTGGTGTTCGCAAGTGGTGCTCCTTCCACATAAGGCCACCGCGCGGTGCAGGGCGCATGCTCTGCCCGGCCCCATTGAAACTTCCTGCTGCTGCTACTGCTGCTGCTGCTGCTGCTGCTGCTGCTGCTGCTGGTGGTGGCGGTGATTCTTTTGCTGGAGCATCTCAGCGTTGTGCCTGCTGCCTCCAGCCCTCACACTGAGCGCTGAACACTCACCCTCATTTATTCCCGTCCGTGCCTCTCCCTTTTCTGGCACATTTCTTCCCTCAGAGAAGGCTTGTGTACTCTGAGCATTGCTTTTATCTGAGTACAGCCCCTGGCTGGAGAAGAAACGTTTCCAAAGAGGTTTTTCTCTCGTTCTTTATTTTTTTTTTTTTGGATTTGTATTAGATGGCCAGAGTGGAATGGGGATTGTACAAGACAGATAGCTGTTTCCTCGCCAAGCAAGAAGAATCGTTCTTCTAATTTCCTAGGGAAGTGAAGAAGTTTCTGATTAACAGAATGTGTGCATTTTGCAAGGAAGGGCCCAGGTGTGAAAGTTGATCCAAGTATTATATAGAGAATATGAATGATGCTTTGGATATCAAAGACTCAGATTAATGCAGCAATTATAGTACAGGACTGTATCTCTTCACCTGGCCATTTCCTCTGACTTATCAGTGACATATTTTTAAAATAGTATAAAATAGGAGCATGATTTCATAAAGACTTTCTGCAGAATTTATTTAAGCATTAGGCTCCTAATGTAGTAATTTCACTGTCAAATTGGATTTACATTCCTTTTTAAAAAGAAATGGCCATTGTGAAATAGGATCCCTTAATAAGTTACTTTTAGAATGCATTGAATAATTAGAGTAATGCATCTTTCAGAGAGGGTGTTTGGGGAATGAACTGCTGGTAAATTGTTCTTGGAATTTGCTTGGACCAAGTCTAGTCACAAGCATAGGCTTGGGGAGGAGGGAGGGTGGAATTGTATTTTGAATAGTGTACAAGATTTGTTGTTTATCCATTTCTATTAGGTATTTTGACCAGTGCATTCAGTTTATATTAGTAACAGAAGAAACAAGACAAAAATATTAGAATTAGTTTTGAGTACTGGGCCACTAGCTAAGTAAAAGTGAGAAATTATCTGGGTTAAGAGGAATCATTTAGCTCAGCCATGGTTTTAACCATTGGTATAGTTGCTAAGAGCAATGAAAAGAATAGATACTGTCAAGATAACCTAAGAATAATTGTTAATTGTCACACAGTTCACAGTTGGCAAATAAAACCTCTGTAGGTGAAAGCCTTTACTGTCCAGGAAGAGGATTTTCAGAACTTTGATGACAGCCTGTATATATTGGTTGATAAAACATTACTAGTTCAGCTAATAAGACTTGTACTGTGTGTTGTTGTGGAGCAGTTATGATATAGAAGGAAAGGTGTGGACTTCAATGTTGAGTAGTATAATATATAGATTGCAGACTGGATCATTTAATTTATATGGATGTAAGTTTATAACTGAGCATCAAATTAAATAATGTTTTAAAAACCTTTCATAAGCCAAGTATTTATTTTTGCGTTACAAATTTTATTAACGATGTCTTCCAAATGAAAGGCAGCACAGGCACACTAAAGCATTTGGAATTAAAATGTTAAATTTTATGTATGTTTTCTGCAAAGAATGCTCATTAAAAGTCTTAGCTTTACTTTTACTTTGTAATTTGTTTTTATTTTTTGAATTTAATTGTTTTTAAAAGGCATTTCTAGTGCCTTTAAAAAAAAAAAAGAAAATGAAAAATCTAAGCCAGGCACCAGTAACTCACGCCTTTAATCTTAGCTACTCAGGAGTTTGAGATCTGAGGATCATGGTTCCAAGCCAGCCCAGGCAGGGAAGTCTGTGAGATTAACCATTTTAAAAAAGATAGGCATGGAGCTGTGGCTCAAGTGGTACAGCACCATCCTTGAATGAAAAAGCTAAGGGACAGTGCTCATGTTCTGAGTTCAAGTCCCAATATTGGAGGGAAAAAATGTATTCAACTTTTGCTTTTTTTCCTTACAATATACTTTTAATATATATTCTGCAGTGTTGCTAGATTAGTACTTTTTACATAGCATATATTGTATTAAATGTATCCACATTTTGACATGTTTGGAGAAAACTAATTTACTGATTTGACCTTGTTTAAGCACTTTGTGATCTTTTTCCTTAAAAAAGTTGTTTACAAGTTTTAAATTTGATAATGTAGCTTCAGTTTATAATGTCCTGACCCGAAATCATGAAAATCAATGTGGAACAGAGAATGGGAGAGAAGTATCCACCCTGAATTTCAAAATTTGAGAAGTTGTACAGTACCCAACAATAATAAATGTTCTATAAGCAATTATGGTTATTTAATTATGTTATTATGGTTATTTAAGAATGAAATGAAAACATGAGTCTTTTTCAATTTAGGAGATTTTCAAATGTCTGCCAAATATTTAATAAGTAGAACTGTTGTTTCTTTCTTCCTCCTCCTCTTTCTTCATTTTGGTGCTAGTAGTAGGGCTTGAACTCAAGGCCTGGTTGCTGTCCTTGAGGTTTTTTGTTTTTGGCTTGTGATCTACCACTTGATCCATAGTTCTATTTCTGGCTTTTTGGTGATTAATTGGAGATAAGAGTCTCATGGGGTTTTTTTTGCTCCAACTGGCTTTGAACCACCATTCTCAGATCTCAGTATCCTGAATAGTTTAGGATTACAGAGGTGGGCCACTGGTGCCCAACAGAACTGTTATGTGGGGTTGCTGTGAGAAAATTACTGAAGTACTGAGTACCATAAGCCTAGAAAGTTTGATAATTTGTGTTCTAGAGGACTTATTGCAATTTTAGGAGCAGAAAGGACTAATGTATTACTTTTGCTTTTATTTTTCAAGGAAGAAAACGAAGGTATACACAGATTTTTAGTGCATACAGCTAACTGTTGGTGTTATTCACTGTTACTTGAACTCCACCTATAAGCCAAATTGTCAACAAAAAAATTAAATTCATAGTTGATGTTAAAATAGTTTGAGCATCATAGTACAAAGCCAGCCGTGGTAGAAAAGTCCATGAAAGTCTTATCTGCAGTTCATCAGCAAAAGGCCAGAAGTGGAGCTGTGGCTCAAGTGGCCCTGAGTTCAAGCACCAGTACTGGCACCAAAAAAAAAAAAAAAAAGACATTTCAAATGAAAGAATTATATTGCCTTCCTTTACTTACATGTATGCTGTTTTAATTCTCCCGATTCTGTACTCGGTGTGGAGTTTGATACTCCCTCATTGGAGGTAGATTATTTTGGAATAGAGATTAAAAATGAAGATGGACATTGACTCTGAGCGTGTTGATACACAAGATCTCTTTTTTTCTCCTTAAAAAAGAAAATATACTCTGTGTGTGTGTGTGTGTGTGTGTGTGTGTATGTGTGTGTGTGTAGGTGTGGTGATATTGGTGAAAGTAACATATATATAATAATAAGTCTGTCAAAGTATACATGGATGAATGGATTCTCATAGATATACAACTTGGCTGAATGATTTGCATATTAAATAAGTTGAATTGTGAGTGTTTTAATTTCATTATTTTTCTTTGAGATGATATCATATGTACCTATATATACTATATACAGTATTATTATATAGTATAGTATATAGTATACTATATACAGCATTACTATGTAGCATATATAGTATGTATAGTATATAGTATATGTAACATATAATATGTATATCTGTATATATATAATATAGGTTATATATATTCAGTAACCACACTGTGTATCAGGCTGACCTTGAACTGATGATCTTCCTGCCTCAGCCTCCTGAGTGCTGGGACTATCTGCATATTCATTTATTCTTACATTTAATGTTTATGACTTAAAGTTTTAGTTTATAGTCATGTATAAAAGGACAAAACTTTTGCTGGGTGCTAGTGGCTCACACCTGTAATCCTAGCTACTCAGGCTGCTGAGATCTGAGGATCACGATTCAAAGCCAGCCTGAGCAGGAAAGTCTGTGACAAATTTGTATGTGTATTGGTGTGTGGGGGGG